ATAGATGGTGATGAATCGGCCCCGGCCAAAGCACTGCATCACTCAAACAGATTCCATCTCAAGAACGCTTGGGTGATGCTCCGACTCCGCGGGGCCGCAAAAGTCCTGCTCCTGCCAAGTCACGAATCACAATGACATCGGGCCTTGCCACCTCCGTGGCTGCCTCCATCATCTTGATCACTCCCAGCATGCCTGGAGCCATGGCCTGAGGCCATCAGTCTCGGCTTTCAGGCGGTTTTTTGAAGAGAAAACGCCTCCCAAAAAGAACCGGTGGGGGCTCAGAACAGAAGAAATTTGCCACACATCCATAACATAAGAATTATATGTATATATTGAAAATGTTCAAATTCAGTGACCCATAACGCCCTTCAGACCCCCGCAAGACTTCAGGGTTTACCTAGGAAAGATGTCCAAGAATTGGTCAAGGAGTTTTACCATTCCTACATAAGTCTGGGATCTTGGTGGGTGTGTCAAATTCCAATCCAACTTCACGCGAGGGCCGAATTCACGTCCACTGAACTTTGACACAGGCACCGGCACACCCTCAGCAGGTGGCATCTTCGTGATGTTGTCCGGAGCCAAGATACTGTCCGGCTCAGCCCCACGGTGGTGGTAGCCTCACTACGGGTGAGGGAGCCGGGCTGGGCTCAGCTGCCTCATGAGAGTGTGTCAAACCTCAGGTCCCTTGGAGCGCGTTCTGCTCTTGCACTCCCAGTTCGCATGCAAAACCCGCGCCTTGTGTGACTGTCTGTCTCGTTCAAACCATCGCCGTCTTCCAGTCAGTACCTCCACGGCCTCTGCCGTCCCAACGCCGCCCGGCGGCCCCGGTCGATCCAAGCAGCAATAAGCCGAGATCAACATTTCAAACGGATCGCGGATGATCATCACGCCCCGAAAGCCGCCCGTCTCCCGCGTCTCGTTCCGAAGCTTCACGATGTCCTTGCCACTCACCGTGTTGTCAAAGCCTTCTTGGGCCAGGATTCGAGGGACAGTTGAAAGCCAGGCTCAAGAAACTGGTATATAAATAAATAAAAAAATAATATATGCAGTTCCGCCCCAGCGAATGGTGGGGGAACGTGTCAGAGAAGGGGGGCCCTGGCAAGCTGACAGGTTCACGTCTGAGGGGGCGGATTGCATTTGGCGCAGGTTGCATCCCGCCCACAACGCCAAACGCTTCGAAACCACAACGCCAAAATCCCAAGGCTTGCTGAGACACCGGGCACCGCACAAGTCTTGTGAAGTCCGGAGAAGCACCAGCAGTGGGCGGCAACGGCATCGAAAACCGTGGGAGACCTATTTTCGCGTCGCTTTAGGTTTGTTATATATTTGAGACCGTTGGCGGACAGGCTCGGGAGAAGGACTTTGCATAGAGTCGCTACTGGCGTCAGAAAGCAACGCTTGGCACTGAGAAAGCGGGTCCCATCTCAGTGCAGCTGCCCCCCGCAAGTCATCCAGCGTGGGAGGCCCGCCACAGCAGCCTGCGCTACCGCAGAAGAAGGCTGCCCAGCTGGGGCCGCACTCGTCTGCTGCAGCGCCGAAAGCTTCAGGACCCATGGCTGCCCCATATCCAATACAGTGGCCTCACGACCCGTGGCAAGCGTGTCAGGCACAATTCCCCCAAGAGTTCACTGACATCAGCCAACTGATCTCTCAGACTGTGTGGATGATCTTGGACACTTTTTCAGTGTCTACTGCCTGAGTCAGGTGGCCGCCCACAGCAGAGCCAATCTATATAGCGTATCCATTCAAATAGTTCTAGGTAGTGTATCACATTGTTGGGGGGAGAGTGGCCATCACAAAGCAACCAGGCCGCTCCGAGATGGCCCAGATGGGCCACACATGCTGCCTGAGAAGGTTCAAAGTAGACCTTCAGGGAGCAACAACCAACACCCATAACAACAGCGACGCCTCGCACTCTGCGTCTCCCCACCATGTCTTTTCCTTCGTTGTGGTTTGTTGGCCTGCTGGCCCGCTTTTGGACGTCAGCCCCTTAAATATATATATATATATATACAGTATGTGTGTGTTTTTGTGGAATATTGTGGAACATATGTATATATATATATACACATACATACGCATCAAGAAGATTAAAGGAGCTCAAACCCGACCTGGGAGAAAGTGACATCTACTACTGACTACTGGAAGTACACCCTTGGTATGTTCTACAATGACAGGTGTGATGTGCATCATGCCATATTCGCATGCAAAGGTTCATCCACAAGTCCAGGAGCCATCACTAATTCTAGGAAAAAATTGGATTTAGAAGCGTTCCATGTTCCATTCCTGTTCCTTACATGCATCCTCCACTTGTCCACACTGCTTCATTCTATCTTCTTCTGCCAGGCACGAATGTTCAACGGATGCTCATCGCAATCCACATGGATGTGTGGAGACGTGATTGGAACACCACGTCCTCCTTTCTGGCAGGACATGTTGGCACCTGGAGACCGTCGAGATGGCCGTTGCTCGTGTGTTGTCTTCCAACAGCCAATGCAAATGTATGAAAACGTCAACCAAGTCAACCCAACGTTGGAGTTCGGAAAGAGAAAAAATCTGAAAACTGAAACCGGCAAAATCCTCTCTGGACTCGGTGCTCAACCATGGCAACAGCCCTGGCCTAGGGTGTCAAAAGCCCAGTTCATGATATTGCGAAGCAACTGGCCTTGGCTTTTTCAAGCTGATCATGCTCCATGTGGCATCATGTTTTTACTCAGCCCGGTTGGACTACAGCCACTTGGATCCAGAAGATCCTAACGACTCCTCCCGCCCCAAACTCCTGAGGCTGGAAACTGGAAAAGATCAAGACAACATGATTCAACATTGTATCTCCCCCCTCGCATCACCAGAAAAGACTGGACAGCTGGTGACGTCGACCGATCTTTTGGCAGAACGGCTCGTCTCAGACTCCCTCGATTGCATATATACATAGATATACACTATATATACATATATGTGTGTGTGGTTGTTTGAGCCACGCCCAGAGTGTTTGCCTCCCAGCTTGGCCTCCAACACTTGGAGATAAAGAAGGTTCGATGATTTGCTGCGTCAGGCGCACCCACAATAAGAGTTGGAACATCTTAGTCCACCTTCTATCCACTTCCGGGTGGTTTTTGACTCCTTCTTTATCTGTCTATTTTTGTTTTTTTCTCTCTCTCTCTCTCTCTCTCCTTCTGCCGAGAAACTTCCAGCTTTGTGGCTGGTGCCCACTAGGTAGACGCGCCGGTCCCAGGGTTTGACCTCCGTTGCCTGTAAGCTGAGCCGCTTCTGGACGAGGGCCATCCTGGACACGGGGAGCGATCGATCGAGCGGGTGTGGTACGTATGTGTCCTTGAAATAGTGGGTTCTGGCCAGTTATGGCCTGCTTTTAGGTGGGTCCTTGAGGAAAAAAGACTCCTTGCTAGAGTCTTAGAGTTGCTAGGGGCCCTGCCATGCAATCGATCAACTCCCAGCTAGTTATTTGATCCCGTGGTGCATATGAAGAAGCCTTGTCCAGGAGAATCACACGTCACCAGTGGCCTCACCTGCAAGGGGGATCTCTGATAAAGTGTCTGGACAAACCACCCTGGGGATATTTCACTTGATGCTGTGCCAAATGCTTGCATGTAGTATGTCCTTTCGTTGACTGGGAAACCAAGGTGTCCCAATTGCCTTGCCTTTGTCCTACTTTGATCTTGTAGCGAGGATTAGCAAAAAGGCCGTCCATCCTCCAAAAGGCAAAAACTCTAGGACTTAAGAGAAGGATCCTCATCAACCTCTCTTCCACCCTCGCCCGGACGCCGAGTGGCTCAGCCCCCTCAGTGCACTCGTGCTCACAGGACTGCGCGGAGGCCTTGGCGAGCGCGGCCGCGACCACCATCCGGATGTGGGAGATGACGTGACATGGACAATGGAAGTGCGCGATGCTTCAGGTCACATGCCCAGTCACTCAAGAGCGACAATCTTCCTTACCTACACACCTGTTTGTTGGAGAGGATGTGGGGGGGGTTGGCAGAGCCTTCGGCCTACGCAAGAAGAGAAGAGCCTTCGGGCGTGTTCAGGGCGACGCGTGCGTTCGGGGGGAGGATGGGGAAGGCGGTGTGGATCGCGGGTCTTGGATGCGGAGGTGGCCATCAATGTCCAAGGGAAAAGCGCTTCGGGGAGCCCATGCATGTGGGTGAATCGTCCGTCCCACGTCCGTCCCACCTCAGAGCACTTCCACCTTCCATTGATGCACATTAATTTACAACAAGTCCAGGGCGTCCACCAAGCCACGAGCAGAATCAAGCCACATCGTAAGATCCGCCTCAGATTTGGCAGATGGGTCAGCTGAACCGCATGAGGATCATTGTTTTGGGACCGCCAGAAGTTGTAGCCGAGGCACGAGGAGCCCATGGGAAGAGGAGGTTGCTCCCAGCTCCGCTCGTTTGCAACGGTTCGGTTCGGTCCTCCCTCTACTGGAGCCGAAAACTGCAGCGCACCTCACAAAGCCAGTGCGACTGGTGATGGCCAAACCTGGTCGTCCCGAGCCCTTTCGAGGCTCCGAAGCGGCAACCCTCAGCCTCTCGTCCGAGTCCTTGCGCTTTGGAGTCGGAGTGCTTCACCGCGCCAGGGCGACGCGTTTAACGCGCCGGTGCGACCCGCGCTGGTTCCTCTGGGTCCACTGCCTTGGAAATGCCAGGTGGCACCGGGAATTTCATGGTGCCGATATAAAGTGCTGCTAGATCACAAGGAACACGCGCAAGTAGGAGAAACTGTTAATTGCAACTGTTCCAACGTGGGATGGTTCTTTCATGAGCCTCGAGAATGGAGCCCTCCAAAAGGTGGTCCGTGCATCCTTGTCAGGTGCCTGGAAACCAGGTTCATAGCTCATAAGGACACACATCACAAACCTGTCCACATTGAGTGGGACCAAATCGTCCTCAACACACGGCCGACGCCCCTATGGTCAGCTCACAACGCATGCCCACCCGTCCGCGCTCCCCATTTTCTCGTCTTCCCTCGGTCGGACGCATGTCCTTTCACCGCTCGAGGGCCCAGGTGATGAACTCTTTGTAGCTCACCATGTCCTCAGATATGGCGCTGAGTCAAAATCTCCGCCAACGTTGAGGGTTGACATGCCTTACAGTGGAATCTGCTCATTGTCAGGCCAACCCGGGCTGCAGGCTTTTAACCTACACCCATGCACTTGGACCGGAGATCTTCCACCAAAGAGTCGCGAAGATGGGCCTTCATCAGGCGGAAAGATTTGTGGGTTGAGGTCTAAGATGAAATAATAAACTGCAGTAGCCATAGAGCCCCAACTCATTCTCAATGTTTCAAGACTTTTAACGAGCATTCAGTGCTCGATTTGCCCGGTCACCACTCACTCCATTGACGCCTCCCTCGAGTCCGCAGCCATGCACTACCCATGGCATGTTTCCACAGCTCCGATGACGGCACCTCCGACCATGCCAGCTGCTTATCGCCCAGCACCGATGGCACCGCAGCCTATGCCAACACCGTATGCCATGACCCCACCTCCACAACACTACCCGGCATATCCATACCCAGTACCTCATTATCTCACTCCACAGCCATACCCAGTTCCAGTACCAGCAACTTATCCGCCACCAATGATGGTCTACCCAAGTCTACCCATCCACAGCACAGCACTCCACTTCACCGCACCACACTGCGGGACATCCACCTTCACTGCACCCCACTACGGGACATCCACCTCCAGTTGCCCACCACCAACAGATTGATCCATCTTCAAGCTATACCTGCGGTTTCGCAGCCTCCGCCGACTACACACCATTCAGTGCCACCGCAGGCTCCACCCACATATCACTCACCACCACCACCACCACCACCAGTACCATCAGCCCCCTCCGCCACCGCCTCCTCAAGCAGTACCAGCACTACCAACCGTCAATCCACCGGCCATGTCACCAACAGACAAGCCAAACTCAAACAACTCTCACACAACACACCCATTTCAGCGGAACTTTCACTCCGCACTGGCACTCCGCAGGCACCATCACCAACTACTCCACCATACACATTTCTACCTTTTCGGACTATGACCAAGCATGGGTCCACGAACTCAACTGGCCATTTGTATCACAACACCTCAAACTCAAGCCTGACGGCTGGCAATTCACACGCCACCGCGCCCATTTCTACCCACGCCTGGCCAATCACTACAGACTTTTCCGTCGCCTGAGACGACGTCTACGCACCACCAAGCAACCAGTCCTACACACATCCCACAAACTACATGCACTCACTGTCTTACATAAACTGACCAAACCCATTCGAGCTTCCTACGATACCGCGCGCCAGCTTCGCTCAGGTCGCTACTCAGAACTCGAGGTCTACGCCATTCGACGTGTGGCCGCCAGGCTTGAAGAACCAGGACGGAGCAAGGCCATGCAGCCATGCACATTCTCAACGAAGCCTTGAAGTACCGCAACCTCACACCCCCGAAACCAACCAGCCATTCACAATTCCATTCTTGGCCCACACTGCCACACTGCCTTCCAGCAGAACACCCAACGGTGGCTCACCGGCTTACTTCACAAACACAAACACCTTGCCATACCGTTTCACCTCCCCACCTGCAAGCTCAGGGAGGCAGCTCACGACACTTTACGCAGCCAAGGAGCAGGTTTTCCACTATCCCCCTCACGAGGAACAGCTCCCCTGCGTCTGTACACACCTCAGCACACTACTAGATCAAAGGGACCACCCACGAGCAGCTGATCACCTCATTGTCACATTGGATGACCTACAACTGCCACCCCACCTGCGCCATTTCCTTGGCGCCAACATGAGCAGCACTTCTTTCCTACCAAACACCAATACTTTGTTTGGCACTTTCCACAAAGCCGGCTGAAACATCACGGATTGCCACCTACGCTTGTCGCACACGCCCAGCATTCCCTGGCCGACCAATGGCACTAACACCTCCAACATCTACACACCGAACCACGATTCACAGCACGTTCCATCAAACAGTTGCAACACTTCCTTGGTGACCAGGTAGTCCTCCACCACGCCGACCATGAACTGCAACACCTGCGGGTCTTTTGCCCGAAGATCTATTTCCAAGGATGTCTTGCCACCTGGCAGTCACCTGAACTTTTCCAACCTCTCCCGGATCACACCAACGACACCATTCGACTCCACCTCCAGCAAGCCTTCCCAGGCCACCTACGCAGAAAATACCGATGGGGCTTTCGTGCCCAATTCACCATGCCTTATGGCATCGTCCACCTGAAAGCCAAGAAGCACTGGCAGAAAGGCCGCACCATCATTTCGTACTTCAAATCCCACTTCGGTACTCTTCGAGCTGCCTCCACCGCAATCACAACTGTGATCCTCCGCCTTTTACTACCTTCACACATTACTCTACACGCCATCAATGATGACCTCGTTGGGTTCTTCAACTCAGTACCACAAAACCGCCTGCTGGACGCGGTAACAAGCCTCACCACCAAGTGGAATCCCACGTATGACACACCCACTCTCACCATTGACATTTTGGCCGCCGGCAATCCCATCCAATTGTCCCACATTGGACAACATCACCGCCGCCACCCCACGCAACGCACCATCGACACGGAAGACATTCCAACCATTGAAAAAGCTTCAAACAGACACGTGGAGCAGGGATTGGGTCCCAACTCTCACCTGCCTTGTGCAATGTCGCCACTACCCTCATCGAACACTCCTGGACTCAATTGCACCACAGCCTGACCCACCACACCCAGATGCACTTTGCCTACTATCGCTATGTCGACAATCGCTTCATCACGTTCAACGATACCTTCCTGAACCACATCGGCATCCAAACTTTGATTCATCCGGGTTTCTTCCGCAATCCAGTAGAGCTGCGACCTGTGGAGGACATGCACCTCCAGTGGCTTCGATGTGGATCTCACTCAACGCGCGATCACCTACATCCCACCACATGCCCCATGGAAGATCAGCGACCACGCTTCCGCAGGTTCCCAACGGCTACGTTTGTCTGGCCTCAACTCCCGCGCCCACTTGATTCGTAACTACACCTACCCGGCCTCGGCAACTGAGCGGGCCCTCGCTCACCTCGCCCACCTTTACGCCCAAAAAGGGCATGACCTGGCACAGTGCCTGCGAGTGATCAGTGCAAAACGATGCGTCACCATGCTTGATTTTCGGGCACGCAGCAGATTTTGTGAGCGAACTGTACTGCATGATCTCCGTGCCCCTACCCCCAATCAACAGAGTGCGTGTGTGTGTGTGTGTGTGCGGATGTGTGTGTGTGTGTCAACACCCACACTAAGGGACCTACCCTTTGTAATTCGATCATATATCTTGCATTCCCGTGTGCAGAGCAGGGGGCCAGCGCATGGCATGACATCACAACGCTGGCCAACGAAGCTAGTGATGTCATGGGAAGCGGTCAGAGACGCCTGACTGTGTACCTGCCATTTTAACACACCATAAAGGGCTAATGAGCTTCCTCCGTCTCACCCATGTTAAACAATACTGTTGATGCGGACTCTTCCACCTTGCGGTTCATCAGCCAAGAGTAAGCGTGACGGGCTAGCCTCACAGGGAGATCATAACTGATACAGCTCTTGCGAGCATTGATCTAAGTGTGTGTGCACATTGGTGTAATATCTGATGTTTGGCCATGTTGCCAAGGCTACGGCTTTGCCGCCCAGTTGCTTCTTTGCCGCTCTGTAGGTCCACCATCCTGAGATGGTCAGGCGATGGAAAGGCTGACCATTTTCGTCAAGGGAACATCAACACCATCAACTCCTCAAAAAGTCGGAGGGTTGACGGAAAAAGCTTGCACATTGCACAACACTTGATCTCAAATTTCATTGTAGTGTCGCTTCGGCCCATCGCCTCCAAAACGGCCAAAGGGACCATCAACTACCAAGCTGGTGGATCTTTACCAAATTCATCCAGATTCGGGTTCGACAATCTGCCAGACGTGCCCAGGGGGAGAAGGTTGGTATCACACACCTGATGACTACTGTGACTGAAAGGATCTCGTGATGCCACCCGTTCCCCTCTCACCAAGCTGTTGGCTGATCCTTCCAGAGCACATGGAGTCCACTTCTTCGGCTTCAAAGCGATCGCCCACAGAGGTCATGAGATGCAGGAACACCTCCCAGCCCCCACCGAAACCGAAAACCTCGTGTTGGGACTGCAACCCCACCAAGGAAAACTGCTGAGCTTCCCATTGCCCAAGGGTCTTCGGGTCTTCTTGTCGGGATGGAAAACACTTGCAAACCAACAGATCAAAGAGCACTCTGTCCACTCCTCTGGGGCTTTGTCACTTCAGCTTGGGCTTCGAGGAATTGAAGTGCAGCTGCTTCCTCGAAGCCCAAGACTAAATGCACCATGCCGCATGCCCCTCATTTTCGGTCCGCCTTCCCCCTTCTCTGATATGGAGTGGTGTCCCTCGGTGGCGCCTCCTTGGGGATCTGCCCCGTGCCTTCCTCAGGGAACTCGCCCAAGGCAACTCGAAGGAGCGAATCCCAAAAGTCTCACGAGTATTGCTTGAAGTCTGGTTGGGGATCCCTTTTGCGTGTGAGAGCACATTTTTGTTGTATTTGTCTGACATTTGTCTGAACACAGTACAGCATCCAACACGGGTCGTACAAAGGATATTCCGAAAAGATGGGCCGTGGCTTAAGGGGACTCCCTCTCAAGGCCCCCCTGGAATAATTTATAAGTTATTCTGACCCCTAGTCACAATGATGCTGGAAATTATTCTGGTATGTCATTCACGTTCAGGAATAATTTCTAAACATCAGGCTGCAAAACCATAGTTGTGCTTTGCACTCAACTGTTTTTCATCCCTGTCGCAACACCGCTCCAATAATTCGGTGTGAAACCCCAAATGCACTTGGAGAGACAATACGCCTACATGTGTGTACATCTTGGAATATTATTCCAAATTTATTCCAAATTTATAGGTAGTACCTTGAACCACTACCTAGCTAAAATAGTATTCCAGACATATTATTCCAAAAAAAATATTCCAGTAGGTCAGATGACCCCTGGAATAACTTTTGAAGCCACCCCCTATCCGAAAAGGCTTCTTGGACCTTGACGAAGCTAGGGCAGTAAGAAACCCAAACACTCAGAGGGGCACTCTCCACCTTTCGGTCGCTAGCACTTGGGGGATCTTCTCTAAAATGAGTGACTCACAGTACCTCCCCAGATCCGAGGGAACCGCTTGACTTCATGAACTCCTGTCAGCTTGCTTCCGCCCGTTCCTTCCGTTCGTCTCGTTCTCCGAAACGAGGCACCGGGTCGAAGGGCGCAAAGACCGAGCTCAGCTCCTCGAAGGACGGATCCTGCCGGTAGTATCGGTCTATCGGTCCGACCGGTCGAAGGTCGGTTGGAGTTGATTCATGACACTGGTAGGTTGAGTCCTAGGTGGCATTCTAAAGGTAGGTTAAAGTTGATCTTAGTTGAGTCTAAAGAATCAACTCAAGTAAAACCAGAATCAACTTAGGTTTAGCCCCCATGTCAAGAGGCGCCCTACATGATTGATCAAGAGTCTACATGAAGGCACCATGGAACGGGGATGGGAAAGGGTGGGCCCCATTCGCCCGCGACCAAACATGGGAACCGCTGACCCTTTGAAGAGGAAGTTGGTTGTAACTGAGGCCTCACAGGATGCACGCATCCCTGAATGGCAGGTGAGAGAGATTAGAATTGGTCTTTTCTCCTGTGTCACGGGCGTGGGTGGAAAGAGAACAAACTGATACGAAAACGAAGTTGATCCATCTGGCCAGCCTCCTCCAGCATCCCGGTGTCCCCACCCCGGAAAAAGCTCCGGACTCGCCGCTCCGCCTTTTGGTGTTCTGCGGAGGGTGACACGTCAACGGTCGCTGCACTGGACGTGACCCCCGGAGGCCAGTGCCAACCACAGAGTCGTGGAGGTCCTTCAGTTGGTATTGGTGGGCGAAGGAACCTACCAGCAGAGCAACCGCTTCCGCCAGATAGATCACGGAAGAACAGGATACATATATCGTTTTTTAAAGAAGATGTTCAGTTCAGTTGACACTTGCATGGCTCTAAAATCTGGCAGAAGGGATTGGTCTTCGGCCGTGGCCCCCCAATAAAAGGATATCAAGCACTTGGCACTTGCTGAGACATACCAGAGGTTTTCAACTTTTCCCTTCTGAAACACAGAGTGTGGTGCTGTGTTGCCATCCCCTGTGGGTTCGTAAGCCACAGCCGCCGTGATTAAGTCCCTCACTCACAAGCTTTCTGACAAGAGCATGCGCTGTGCATCCGCGACCCTCCGCATCTGCAGCAGGGCCAAACCTGGTGGAATCAAATGGGAAACGGGAAGGTCGACATTACATTACACACACTACATAACATTACATGACGTGACATTACATTACACTACATCACATTACACTACTACACAACATTACATTACACTACATACCATTACACGATTTACCGTTACATTACATTATGGAAGTTCGTAGGCCATGTTAAGGACGGCTGGGTTTTTGACAGTTCAAACAGTGTTACCTGTCCAGTTTTAAGTGATTCCAATCACTTTTTGTAGATAGTGATTTGGAGGATGTGGAGAGATTTCTCAACTTGGTGACATTAGGCTCAATCTTCGTTTGGCCGAATGGCCTGTGGAAATGAATAGCGGTCAATGATGATATGATGTTGTTGATAGGGAGGAAGAAAAGTAGGATGGAGCTGGAGTTGATAGCATTCTTGAAGAACATCTCTCACAACTTGACAATTTGGCATATGGGAGGAGCACAGCGCACTAGCATTAGTGTCGAATCATTGATCTTCTTAAAAAGAAAAACGTTGCAATCTTGCTAGTGCAGATCAAATCTCATAGCTGTCATTCACAGAATTCCCACTCCCGCTGTCGGCGCCAAGGAAGAGCCACCAGTACGTTCCATCACGCAAAGTGATGGCGCCCCTTTTCCATTTTTTCTCCATAACTTCCCTTTCTTGAGCCTTAAAGCATACCCTGTAAGAGGTTGGAAGCGAGTTTTATGGTTGTTCGGCGTTCTCGGGCCAGTTTTGTACTTAGAGAATTGTTGTTTTTGCAAATGTTTCTGTTTTCCGCATTGGACTGTTGGTAGCCCAAAAACGCGCATGTAAAATGAACAATGCCTTTTGGAAATATCATCAATCCAACATAAAATATCGAGATTGTTAACATCCTTTACGAACTTCTATGCATTACATGCCATTACATACAATACTACAACACAATACAATACAATGCAATGCAATACAGTACATTACACTACATTACATTACATTAATACATACATCCATACCATTGCATTGCCTTGGCTTGGATTGCAGTACATTACGTTACTGCCATACCATACCATAGCATACCGTAGCATAGCATCCATCCATACCTACAGTACGTACATACAAACATACATATACACGGCATATATGTGTGTGCGCGCGCCAGAGTGGTTGCTTGTGGGACCACTAATCATCCCATGCCATGGCCCATGGCCCGAGGCATCAGTTTCGGCACCACCCCAGGGTCGCCAGGGTCGGCCTGCAGCATCTCTTTCCAGGCCGTGGACGCCTTGCTATGGTAAGTCATCCCCAGCAATGTCCATAGCCGAAATCCGCGACGAAAAAAGACCCTCATGGCCCCAGACTCGGGACCACTCACCGAGCACTGAAACTTTCGACTGACTGATGTACTCCTCACTTACCCACACCCCACTCGCAGTTTTCCCAATCAGCAGTTCCCACCATCTGCACTCTTCCGCCCAGCGACGCCCTCTGCGGATGACCTGCTCCTGCTCAGCGCTCATCCGCCGGATCCGAGACACGTTGGGGAACAACCGGCTAACCAGGCGCTGACGCAGGGAACAGTACCTCAGTGGGACGGGAACTGGCCGTCCAGCCGTGCCCTGCCGACTGGCGAAGGCTGGGCGTCGTGTGATACACCGGTTCTTCGGTTCTTCCAAGTTCAGAATTAGGAAGAGAAGCTGGAACGATTTTTTCCCTTGAAAAGCGAGACCTATTCCGGCACCCATCTTGAAAACCGAAAGAACCCACCTTGGTTCCGTTCCCTGCCACCTCTTCCGGCACCGCCCCGCCCCTCACATCTGTGGCCCAAGCACTTCAGGAGGGCCTCCCAATCGACCGCCGGAGGTCGCTCGACGTTTCGTCGGAGCTTGGCTCGATGCACGCACGTATTTTCGCCCAGGCGGAGAAAAGGCGGACTCTAGGCTTGCTTCGTTCGCCCAAACCTTTCTGATTCATTTGTTTATACAAATGCTTTCTAAAGTAGGCGAAAGAGGAAGAAGAAGAAGAAGACGACGAAGACGAAAGAGGAGGAAGAAGAAGAAGACGACGAAGACAAGCACGTGAAGCCCCAGCACCCTGCACAGACCCAGCATGTGGGCCGTGTGACAGTGCAACCCCGGGCCAAGAGACTTCACCAGCTTGTGAGATGCTACAAATGTGGCAACCACACGGGAAGACAAAAGGATTCTGGCCGTTGGACTGGCACTTGCCGTCTGCCGAACGCTGCAAACTTAAAGAGAAAAGCACTTGACCGGTCTGCGGGTCCAAATCTGACCCTTGTGCCCCCTCCCCTCGGCAATGCTTTACAGGCACTTGATCCTTGAATCCTTCCTTATAATATATGCCCCTGAGATTGCTACTGCTGAAATGTTAGATTGATTGCAAAGGTCAAAAATCAACCCTATGGCCCTACGGCGTGTCACGACCTGATGGTCTTTGGGGTGTGCCCTCAGCGTTGAGCATGCAAACCTTCTTCGTGTTGACTTCCCGCTTCCTCCGAAAGCAACCCCACACTAATGACGCATGGTGAACAGATTCTACCAATTAATGACCTCTTTGTGCACCTTCCGGTTCAGCTACTACCCGCCCTTGTAGAGTCCATTGGGAATCGAGGGTTTGACAGGGCAGAAGTGAAGAGTGGCTGGGGGCACCGGCCCAGGAAAGACGGGGCAGAAGACAACCCCCTCCTGGTGGCAGGCGTCTATAGCAAAGAAGTGGCCTCAATATGCCCCTCGATGGCTGCACCATCCATCTAAACCTCCCACACCAGATCCTCTCAGCTCTTCCTTCCTTCTTAGGGCTAAAAGCCCCCTCCTCCACTCCGCTCAGGCTGCCCTGCCCGCCTCAATGCAGTTGTTGAAGGCATCCTCCAAGGCAGCAATCCCCTCCACCGAAGCGTGCCTCCAAGCGCACAAGCAATAGGCCCTGATGGAGACCCCTTGCTCCAGACGATCCTCCGATGCAGAAAAAGATGAGGTGTCGGAGGAAGGTGTGGCGGTGTGGGGAAGAAACCAGAACGACGGCAGGGACTGAATGGAGTCTTCAACATTGATTGGTTCTAGAAGGCTACAGTACTTGCAACATCTTGCAACTTCCAAATTCATCTGTCCACACGTGCTACCATGCCGTACAGAATGACTCGTGTGGGCTCTTGTCGGAGAATGATGCCGTCCCAAAACCAAGGCAAAAAGAATTTGGGACTCCAGCTTTCATTGGCAGTTCCTACTGTTGACCGTCTGAGGCAGCTTTCACCGGCATCCTCGTTGACCGGCCCCGCTATTTTCGCACCGCGTGTGGAAGTGAGGGCCCCTTCCAAGTTCCAGGAATCGCAAGAGGCATGGCCCCCTTGGGTGAATATTTGGCCTCTACAAACAAGTAGGTTGTCCAGTTCCATGATCATTTCAGGGAGTGGTTCTATTTGAGAAAATGCAGAGGCCACAAGATAGTCAATACGCTCGCATGCGATGATGAGCCTAGCAAAATGAGGAGGAGTCTTGCAGGTCGGATCAAGAATGGTGCCACCCCGAAATCTGTCTACTACGTCGACTGAAAATGCCAGGAGGCCAAGAAGTTGCGGTGGTTCTGTGGCATCCGCGGCCTCAGGTATGGCAGCGTGGGTGGTTTCTTTCACTTGGAATTGCTTCTTCAGTTTAGTCCAAGGGGCCGCCCCTGCTGCCAGTGCTCTTGCAAGGGTCCAGAAATGCCATCCTGGGGTCCGATCCGGTGAAGAAAGCCCGAACTGAGGACGGGCTCCCGGGACAGCCCCAAAGCCTCCACACCTAGATTAAGTCAAAATACACAGGGTATAGATAGATAGATAGATAGATAGATCGATCGATCGATAGATAGATAGATAGATAGAAATAAATAAATACAGTATACATCAGTATACAGTATATATACAGTGGGTGGGAAGAACACCAGCAACCGAGCTGCACTCCGACAAACCAAGGGCACGACAGAACCAAAAAGGCCCAGTGCATCCCGACATTTGAGGGGCAATGCAGGTGTTTACAAA